TATAATAGTTGGTGATTTTTAAAAAAATCCAATTTGACACCGAGTGTTTATTTAATAATTAGTGATGCATGGGAAGTACTGGCTGAGAAAATCTAATGGTTAGGAAATGAATCACAAATCTGGACAGACATTGATGGGTATTAGAAATTAATAACCAAAACCAAACATTGATTAAGACTGCTGACTGGAATTCTTATTCTGTATATAGATACACACATATATACATATAAGGTAATAAACGAAGAGAGATACGTTAATTAAAAATAATAATGGAGACTGACTGGTGGTGATACCATCAGAAGCAGAGCAACACGACAAGACAGCCATTCAAAAGAAAAATTAGCCTGAAACATGTAACAGCCTAATTAAAGAAAGCTTTGAGAAGACGAGAGTTCAACTCAAATGGCTAATCGTTCCATTAATCAAATCATTTCTCTGGCAACAGCTGTACTCCCAATTGTTCAAATTTCTCAAGATTTAGTAAAACATTTAGTATAAAATTTATAAACTTTAATGATTATATAATTAACTGTATTAAAATATTAATTACCCAATCAATATATAATTAATTAAAAAACACCCAACAAATATGTATAATTAATTACCAATTCTTATATTTAAGCAATTACTGTCTGAACTTCTGAGCTTATTAAGAAATTAATTTAATAATTAAACTACGAGAATTAAATCAAGTAGAATCTTAATTACCATTAATAAACCTGCTTATGATTTGGATGACCACCGCCGCTCAGACAAGTCTTGTCAACAAGCTACTTAACATCTCACAATAAGTCAATGATTTGAAATAAATTTAAAGTTTGTATGAAATTCATTTATGAATTATATTATTTTAATTAAAAATAATGAAAAATTTATTTAAAATTTTACATAATACGTAGTTAATTATTTATTATTGTAAAATAAATCAAAATTTGAACTCTTAACTTATTGATAGTAAATAAACTTGAATTATCATATATAATTTGAATTTGAAAATTAATAATTACTTTAACATGTGTTATATATATATAAACTAGAAATAGTCATTTTTAATATTGTATTCATGTTATGTATTAAAATTCATAATCAGATATTTTTGTACGTATATATTGAGAAACAGATGAATAGATATATTTTACAGATACGTAAATAGGAAAAAGTCGGGGGGGTATGAACTGGAAACGGAGGGACCAGAGAAGTAAAATGAAGTGGGAACACCGCACTCTGTGTGAAGCTTAAAAATTCTCAGATGTCAACCCGTTTTGTTATATTATTATTTTTCTTTTGTCATTTTCTAATTTTGAGGTTGATTTTTTTTTTTTTGTTTTGTTTTTGTTTTTAGCTCATATTTATGTATAATTATATTAAATAATATAATTTCACATTTATTTTTCTAATTTATGTTAAAAAAATTATACATATATATATATGAACTACTTTCTTTTAGGGTTAATTTTGAATTTCAAAGTTTTATTAATCATCCTTTTCTTATTTGCTATTAAAAGTGTTGAATAAAAGAATGAAGAATTTACCCTTCATGTTTTAAGGAAAATCTCCATAGCAATCGAAATATTGCTTTGTAATTTTTATATATTAATTAATTGTATTATAATAAGTTCAACGATATTTTTTAATTTAATTTTCTCGTTTCAATTGTTAATAGCGTAATATATGCTAATCCTACACTAAGTAAAAATTTAAATTTATATCTTGATCGTAAATTGAAACTCGAATAATTGTTAGACGAATATCTGTTAACTTAAATATCACAATAATAAATACTTTAATTTGTGTGAACACTATATAATGATGATAACGTAAGTACAATTTGAATAATTTTTAAAAGTCGTAATAGTATTAAATGAAATAACTATATAATTTAATAATGTGAGACCAAAAAGACTGTGTGGAGGAGAGTGTAGAGAAGACTAAACAAAAAGGGTAATGGCATCATATTTTTATTAATTTACAAGTTATTTTAAGTACCAAATTCAATTATATTTCTTCATCAACTTTATATAACACCACATTACTCTCTCTCTCAAAACCCAATTGGCATACACACACACACACACATATATATATATATATGTATTTAATTTTCTACTCAATTGATGAAAAAGAATATGAAATGTACAGTTCATATTCACATCCAAGCTGTAGTAAGGAAGAAATATAAACTTGGTCCCCACAATACCACTGTATCAATTGATAAGTGAAATTTTAAAAAAAAAATAAGAAAAGATTAGCCAAGTAATAAATTATCAGATAATATAATATAGTTAAAATTTTAATATTTTATTTAAAAATTATGAATTTAAATATTATTAAATATTTATTATTTTATGATTATATTATATAACAATTATTATTAATATAGAATTATAAATAATAATTTAATTTTGTCCCAACAAAATATTATATGTGAGAAAACCAATATGGTTTGATACACAACCTATTTATTATTATTATTATTATTATTATTATTTTTCTTTTTTTTTAAAAAAAAAGGAAGCAAAAAGTTTTGTGGAAAAATCTTCCATCAACTTCTTATTAATTCAAAGTTGCACGTATCCCACTTATGCTATTTCCTTTTCATGCTTATGCTGTTCAACACACACAAACTCCAACATGCACCTATGAAAAGACATGACATTGTCCTCTCTCTCTCCCTATCTATCTATTTATATATATATATATATTATATATATGCAGACATATATATTAACCGACTATATATATATATATATACACGAGAATGGATAAGCATATATGACCATGACATACAAGTTGAAAGGTAAATCAATATTAATAATAAAATATAAGAGCCTTTTCATTATGCTCAAAAATCAGTTTTTAATTCAAATGGGTTTTATTAAACAAACCATTTTTAGTTTACTAGTTAATTAGAAATGGTGAGCAAAATAATTGGCCAATGTTACATATCTTATGTTTATATAACATGCATTAACAAAATAATTTAATCACAGCATCTA